ATTTAAAACTAAACTAAGATCTCGGCCTCTTCATGGGCCGGGGTCTGAACCCTGTGGTCTGGGATGTTCCTCACCCTCACCTCACCCTCACCTCACCCTCACCCCCGTCAGACGTGTCGTGTCTCAGCCTGTCGGTGTGGGTGAGGAATGGCAGGTATGGAGGGGGTAATTAGTGGCTCTAATCGTGGAGTGCGGCCCCTAAAAAAGCTCTGGTCGTTGGTTTTCAGAGGAAACGCTACAGCGGCGTCTGACGGTCGTGTTATCAACCGTAGGGTCGCAGCCCACCGCGTGTCCCTCTGTCCCTGCGTGACGTGCACGCTTGTCTGTGCACGTCCGACCTCTCCGCACGTCCGACGTGTGTCAGCTTGTTCCTGAGGTTAAACTGGAGGACAAAGGAGGAGTAAAGTCAGAGCAGCTGTGGTTCAGGAGGCTGCCCCTGGAGGTCAGGGGTGGAACAGTCAGATAAAAATGAATATTCACAGAAATGTTAAAAAGATAAAAAAGACGGAGCAGAATTCTACAGTAAATATAAAACAAACGTCTTAAACCGAGTTTTAACCTGAATATAAAAACACTCTGGCGCCATCTTCAGTTGTTCTGGTAGTTTGTTCCACTCGTTGTCTTGTCAGTACTGAGCTGACGTCATGCAGTACTTGATACTACAGTTTGTTGTTTTAATCTTTCTTTTCCAGTACCAGTTGATCTGGTCCTCCAGTCACATGTCAGAAAAAGACAAAACAAAACAAAACAAAATCTCTGAATATTCCCAGGAGGACCATCAGTCAGTGTCTTACTGTAAAACAGGTCCACGCCCCCTACTTTAGGAACCACGTTAGCAGAGCTACGATCATAAACCTTTGTTTCTGTCGACCAGTTTCTAACGAATGAACCCATGATGTTCTGGTTTAGTCTCTCTGATGGAACTGTGGACTTCCTGTCCTGGTGGTCCGTCTGCTGCGGGACTCCATATGTGGACAAGACGTCTCTGTCTCTGTGTGTGTGTGTGTGTGTGTGCGGCAGGTGACAGTGTAAACAGAAGAGGAGCAGCTCCTTCATCAACCACCAGTTCCAGGGACTGATCTTTTAAACACTGAGTCTGGAGACCTGGCACTGATCCACTGACGCTCAACTGCACTTATTTATGAGCCCACACGGGGCAGCGCTGGCTGTGGTCACGGCCCGGAATCCAGAGAGGGAGTTTAGGCCCGGGACCAGAGAACCAAGACCAGGACCTGATCCTGGACCAGAGCTGGGTTTCAGTCTGTTGTTGTTCAGCTGTCGGTCATTCCTGCAGATGGAAACACCACTGAAGAAGAAGGAGGAGGAGGAGGAGGCGGAGGAGGAGAAGGAGGAGAGGGAGGGGGAGGGGGTGAAGGAGGAGGAGGAGGAGGCGGAGGAGGAGAAGGAGGAGGAGGAGCAGACCTCAGAGGAAAATATTTGTTATTTTCCTTTGAAAAAAAAAGAAGGCTTTTCCCCCATTGGTCTGAGGACTTTTTGACTCCCCCCGGTGTAAGGGAAGCCACACTGCAGCTGACGGTCACGTCTGTGGCCTCCTGGCAGGACGAGGGTGGAAAGATGGCAGGGTCTCAGCAGAACATGTGTTTTTGGAGCCTGAGATGATCCAGAGCCAGACCACCACTCTGAGGGTCCGTCATCACCCTGGGCTGGAGCTCAGGAAAGATCTGGGACATTATTATGCTTTCTGCCCCCCCGCC